CTCTGCAGGGATATAACCTTTTCTAACAAACAGTCTCCTCTAGCAGCCCAGCAGCTTATCTTAGCTCATCAGCCTGCTCAGTACCTCCTGAATCACCTCCTTCTCAGAGAAAGCAAGTGAGTACATGAATGAGATATTGGGATGGTTGGGAAAGAAACTTCTTTATCTAAGTGCTGTTACCTTTCCTAAAGAAGTGTGTCTACGGAGACACCACTGAGCCCTACATTGTATGATGCTATCTAGTCTTTTAAAAGCCTCTCCTTTTTCATTCCCAACAATTGCTCATGTTCTTGCAGAATGCCTTCTCCACTATGGATATTCTTGGAACAATGATAAATAGAAAGGTTTTTTTTTTTTTCTTCCTACCATTATCAAACGCAAAGGGCCCCTTAAAGATCTTGGTGCCACATTGTCCACGCACAGTTCAGTTGGTCAGACATGGTCCTCTAAGACTGAGTCTTAGTAATCTTAGTAAACAAGAAATTGCTGTTTATACTTCTGAGTGCTCCTTTCATGAGACGTTCTTTTGCCAGGAGTATATCCCTCAAATCATATAAAGCTTTTTATTTTATACATCTATACCCTATTTTGTGCCTGTTTCTGTAACTTTTCCACAAATGAGTTTAGTTGCCACAATATTTTCAGTAGGTCCCTTTGCTTGATTAATGGAGTGGACAACATGGTTAGTTTAAAGACAACTGGTTTTCTGTTACTGGAGACTTCAGGGCAAACATATATTTATGCTCAAGCAGGTTAATGAGGCTTGATCTAGGACTATTACAGTAGGAGTATCAGAATTTTTGTAGTAGAAAAGAAATCTTCAACTCTGTTCAGAACAACTGAACGAGTTTTAAATGTTATAACAAGCTAGAGAATAATCAGTGGAGGAAGCTGAGGAAGAAGGTATGCATTTGATCAGAAGATCTGTGTTTGGAAAAAAAAATGTACTTGAAGTTAGGCTCATTGTGTTCCATGGAGACTAGGAGTTAGGAATAGCAGTCTTCCTGATGACTCATTGCAAAGGGATAGCTTCTGTCTTTAAAAAGGAACTTCTGCCTGAAGTTCCTCACATCTGCAATTCCAGTTTCTGGGAGGCTGAGGCAATAGGATCAAAAATTTCAGGGCAGCTTAGGTTACAAAGTTAGACTGTTTTTTGTTTTTTGTTTTTTTAATTAAGAGGTTACTAGGGAGAAGGATCTGCAAATAAAGCACTTGCCATACAAGTTTGAGGACCACAGTACAGGACGCTCAAACCCATAGGCAGGTATGGCAGCACTTAAGAGTCAGAGACAGGGCATCTCTGGGGCCAGCTGACTAGCTAGAATTGGTAAGTTGAGGTAGAGACTCTGGCTCAGTAAATAAAATGGGGCACAATCACGAAAGGCCCTCACCATGAACACATGGGAACACACATAAACACCGCACATATACACAGGGAAGACTAACTAAGGGCTAGACTGTCATTCTGTGATAGAGCACTTGCCTAGCATGCACAAAGCCCTATGTAGCATTCCAGCACTATGAAGGCAAACAACCAAAACAGCTTCTAGATATTGGGAGATGATTTACATTTTAATGACACAGAGAAAGAATTCACAATTTCAAAGGTTCTAAAAAAACAAAAGGGAGATTAGGGACTAACAATCAGGTAGAAAACTATCTAAAATTTCCTCAGGCTGAAAGTCCTTTAAAAACCATTGTGATCAATTCCTTTGATCAAATCTATCAAATGATGAATAGTTTTCATATGTATTAGTTCATATATTATAATTATTAATTCATAGGCTACAATGGCCTTTTGAGTCACATACACAGACACCATAAGGATTATGAGCTTAGAGTAATTGTTTAATTTTACAACTGACCTAACTATCCAACTTAATTATAGACTGCTTTTCCAATATCAAATTTCATCTGGGAATTAAAATTTCTCTCTCATTTGTTTATTTAAGCAGAAATCACCACCATATAAAAGATCTAATTTATGACTTTGGTTAAGAATATTTAAATGCTTGCTGATATGACATCTTCAGTTTTCTAGTGAAATTTTTCTAAGGACACATTGAAAAGACAAAGTTGTTCACAATTCCAATTAAGGGGAGGCAAAAAAGAATCTATCCATTGACCAAATCTGGCAGAAATTGGTGAAAGCAATTATCGTTCTCACCCTGTGCCCACTCATTTAAACATAACAGGCTAAGAAAGGATGACACACCATCTGTTCATATCTTGGTGACTGTCAAGGATTCTCAATCCTTGAGTGTTTGGGGAAAAAAAAATCCAGTAGTCTTCTCTCTTGGAAAAAATACATAGCAACGGCACTATTTCTCCTCCTTCTCCTCCATTCACAAATTGACACCATTCAGTCACATAGCCACGATATGTGAGACATGATAGAACATGAAAAATAAGAGTATTTATGAAGTGCTGGACATTGTAAGTGTGAGCTTATGTTACTTCACTTATTTTACCTAATCAACAAGAGTATTACCTGGACCTTTCTCTATTGTTCCCTAAATTTTAGGCTTAAAAACAATGACCAGAAACACACTAATTAATCATAGGCTTGAGGTGTTGACAATACAAATAGAAAACTTATCTTCTCGCCCTTTCACTTTGTCCCACCTTCCCATATCCCTAGATATAGGGTAGATGAGCCACCACAGATGGTCACCTTCTGAATATCTGGAAAAGAAAAATAACAAAAGCTAGAGTCCTGGTCAAGATCCTCTTGAGCCTTAGTGTTCAGTACCACTTTGTTTTTGCATCATGCCCATAGACACAGAAGGGAATGTGAAGTCAGCTCACATGCCCTGCAACCTGTAACAAGCTTTGAGAGTTTGTTGGCCAGGGTTGAATAAAGAGCATTTATTTGCCTGTAGTATTGGAAATGAGCCTTGCCTTCCTCAAGCTGACCACCCTCCTGTTCCAGCCCAACTATACCATGTATCATTTTTTTCCCACAAACCACTTGTCTTCCACCACACCCATGAATTAATCAGTCTCTATTGCTCTATGTGTGCCTGGGCTCTCTAGTCAACCACCTACAAGAGATAGCAGACTAAGTTTCATATGTCTTACTTTTTGGCCACATTAAGGGAGTAGCTGAGTGTTGATTGCTGCTTGGGAGCAGTATAAAGATTCTAGGGCTTCCTTTCTACAATTTCTTTGGTCTGTCTTCATAAAAGAATCAACCATTTTGTTTCCCAGGAAGGGCAAATCAACACATAATAGAGAGACATTTAATCTGTGTTATCCCTGCTATTTGAAATTGTTATCTAATTTTCAGAAAGCCTATTTTTTAACTAATTAACAGGAAGAGTCATGACAGGAATCATGAACTCTTACATAAAATGATGTCCCTGTTTGTCACAGCATGTCAGGGCATTGGAGATGAGGCGTGAACTCGTCATTGCAGAAGCAGCAGAACAATCAGGATCCTATTACTTGTTGACAACAAATACGACTGCAGACATTTTATAGCCAAAAGATCCCCACCCCCAAATCAAATAATTTCCAGAATGCATAGGTTGATTTTTGTTTTGTCCTTTTGTTTTGTTTTTGTTGGGTTGAGGGAGTGCGTTTTTGTTTGTTTGTTTGTTTGGTTGGTTGGTTGGTTAGTTTAGTTTTGGTTTGGTTTTTTTTTTGAGATAAGCTTTCCCTGTGTAGCTCTGGCTGTCCTAAACTCACTTTGTAGACTAGGCTGGCCTAAAAATCAGAGATCCGTCCGCCTATACATCGTGAGTGCTGAGATTAAAGTCATGTGTCACCACTGCCAACTACAAAGATTGTTTTGTTGATGGTGCTAGTTAGTGGTAGTGTTTTGGATTTCTAAATTGCAACAAAATGACTCTATTTTTGGGTGACAGTAACTTAATGCTATCCATCTCAAAGACATATAACATCCAGCACACATTGGTCATCATATATGTTAGTCCTTACACACACACACACACACACACACATACAGAGAGAGAGAGAGAGAGAGAGAGAGAGATGCAACCCACCCCAAACAAATACAAAGCCATGAGACTTCACTTTCTTTTTTTTTGTCATCTTCAGATGGCTCTTTTTTTGTCCAAGACCCTTTCATAATGCTTGCTATGACCCATCCTTCACTTCTTATGGAGAGCCAAAGGCTTCAGTTAGTTTCTATTCTGTTACACTCATCAGTATCCTGCTTGCTGCTCCCTGGGGAACTGTCTTGCCTGAGAAATAGTCTCCACCATGGAATCCTTGCATGTGTGAATAGATGATTCACCCTATCCACAGAACATGTTTAAATAAAGGATTACAACTCAAAAGGAAATCTTGAATGCTGGAGATTTTAGGGTTTTTTTGGGTTTTTTTTTGTTTTGTTTTAATTCTTTAATGACAGGTAAACAAGGCAGAGATTTTTTTTTCAGCATTTATGGCTTTTCTACCTACTTCTTCTGTGGGTATCCAGCCACCTAGGGATCCTGACATTTTGGTCACTAAAAATTGGTTGCCTCTCAGGACAGAGCAATAAAAACCTTGATTTTTTTTCTTTGCTTGTTGTTTTTGGACATACACACAGTATCTTTTGAAACTAAATCCCCAAAGTTATGGATACTTCTCCCTTAATGTATTATAGTAGGCTTCAATCTCCTTTTCACAAAATGAAAACAAAACAACAAACAAACAAACAAAAAAAACACTGGAGCAGGAGAGGTGGCTCAGCAGTTAATAGCAGGGTTTACTGCTCTTGCAGAGAACCCCAGTTCAGTACCCAACACCCACAAGGTGACTCACAACCACTTGTAACTCTAATGTCAATAGATCAGAAGCCATCTTCTGTCCTCTACGGTCTCCTGTATGTATGTGGCACACATCCGTTCAAGTAGATACACACTCATAAAGACATAATGAATAAGCAAATCTTAAAAGGAATATTTTTTCTTTTTTCTATCTATCACAATGTTTTCAATTTCAAAAAAGATTTTTAAAATAAAAAAACACGGAAGAGAATTATTCCAAGGTTAATATTTATTAAATATGATTTCATTCTTCCTTTCCCAAGACAATCTTTAGAATACAAAGTAGAGGAAGATTTGCTTTACAAATTGAACATTTCCCCCAGTCCAGGGCTGGGAGTCAGGTGAGCATCTCTGCTGACATTTATAGAAAATGATCTTTGTTTATGAATGGAATTAGTTTTGATGTTTGCAGGCAATGCTCTTCTTATAAAAGCAGGCACAGCTTCACAACTCAAAGAAGAGAAGGTATAAGGACCACCATCAAAGTGACCTGCATAAAAACAAAGAACAATTAAATGGAACATGAAGGACTTTGGGCAAGAAAGAAGCATACAAAAATTTCATGGAATGGCATGATGAATAAGTAGAAAAAAGTGAAGTTGTAAAAAAAATAGATGAATATCATTTTAGATATTCTAATATCATATTAGAATATCATTCTAATATCACTTCCTGGTCAACAGATACACATGTCCTTCTTGCAGAGCTATTGTCATTATCTGTGAGCACTTTGAAACAGGCCATTGGGCCTCTTGGTAATCCTGGATTATTGCTTGGTACAAGACTGTTAAGATTTTTCAACATGTATTTGCTACTGTTTGCTGTGAAGAAAAATACATTTACATTTATGATATATATTGCTGATGAATTGAAATATCCCTGGAGCAGCAGGAATACCCTTTTTGCAAAACTGACATTCCCCAATTAGCCCCAACTACTAGGTAGTAGGAGATTCAACAACTCAGGCAGTCTTTAAACTATGATATTCCAGGGTCTTCAAGAAGAGCAATAAATATCTGTAGTTAGCTGGCCATGGTGCAATGGGTGTCAGTGACTAGGGAAAGAGTGTTTTCATGGATACCCTTAACTTTCCGATACAACTATGGAGACTAAGACTACATAGCATGATTCAACCAGTTCTGTTTGGTCATTCACCTACAGCTAGAGTTATACATATTAAGGATAGAAAAGGATGAAGCTCTAAGCACAGGTCACAGAGTTAAGGACACCGCCTGATCTTAAGCCAAAGCCTTTTTTTAATATACCACTCAGTTTCTAAATCAGTTTTGGGCCTGAAAAATAAAATGAGTTTTTGAGTCTGTGTAATAAAAACTAAAAGTGAGAGAAGGGTCTTGACATTAGCACTGAGAAGTGACAGGCTGACCACAATCAGGCTAGCAAAACGTGTCTGTTTATGTGTGAAGCTGAAGCTTAGTTTGGTCTTAGAACGGTAAGAAAGGGAACAGGGCAGGAACTTGCCACAGAGGGCCTCTGAAAGAATATACCCTGTATTATATGCCTAAGTCCACTTAGAAGTGAGTATACACCATTTGCGTCTTTCTGCTTCTTGGTTACCTCACTCAAGATGATCTTTTCTAGTTCCCACCATTTGCCTGCAAATTTCATGATTTCCTTGTTTCTAATTGCTGAGTAGTATTCCATTTTGTAAATGTACCACAACTTCTGTATCCATTCTTCAATTGAGGGACATCTGGGTTGTTTCCAGGTTCTGGATATTATGAATAAAGCCACTATTACCATGGCTGAGCAAATGTCCTTGTTGTATACTTGAGCATATTTTGGATATATGCCTAGGAGTGGTATAGTTGGATCTTGAGGTAACACTATTCTTAATTTTCTGAGAAAGCACCAGATTAATTTCTAAAGTGGTTGTACAAGTTTACATTCCAACGAACAATGGAGGAGAGTTCCCCTTTCTCCACATCTTCTCCAGCATGTGTTGTCACTTGAGTTTTTGATCTTAGCCATTCTAATGGGTGTAAGGTGAAATCTCAGGGTCATTTTGATTTGCATTTCCCTGATGACTAAGGACTTTGAGCAGTTGTTTTTTTTTTTTTTTTTTTTTTTTTTTTTTTTTGTTTTTTTTTTTAAAGTGTATCTCTGCCATTCGGTATTCCTCAATTGAGAATTCACTGTTTAGCTCTGTACCCCATTTTTTAATTGGATTACTTGATTTGTTGCTGTTTAACTTCTTCAGTCTTTATATATTCTCGACATTAGCCCTCTATCAGATATAAACTCAGTGGCTGGCTCTTTGATCACCTCCCTCTAAGTGGGGGCAGCCTTAATAGACCACAGAGGAAGACAATGCAGCCAGTCCTGATGAGACCTGATAAGGCTAGGTTCAGATGAAATGGGAGGAGGACCTTCCCTATCAGTGACTGGGGAAAGGGCAGAGGAGGAGAAGAGGGAGGGAAGGCAAGGTTGGAGAGGATGAGGGAGGGGGCTACAGCTGGGAAACAAAGTAAATAAATTATAATAAATAAAGCAAAAAATTCTGGGGAAAAAAGAAATTACTTTTTAAAAATAAATTTAAATGTGATTGGTTTCATACACTGTCAAGATGTTCTGTCTACTCTGGAATAAAATAATTGACTTTTTTTAAAGACTCTACCCAGCAGGGTATTAAAGCAGATGCTGAGACTCATAGCCAAACTTTGGGCAGAGTGCAGGGAATCTTATGAAAGAAGGGGGAGAGAAAAAGGTCTGGAGGGGACAGGAGCTCCACAAGGAGACCAACAAAGCCAAAAGATTTGAGCTGAGGAGGTCCTGCAGAGACTAACACATCAACCAAAGTCCATTCATGGAGAGGATCTAGACCCCCTGTTCAGATGTAGCCCATAGACAGCCCAGTTTTTATGTGTGTTCCCTAGTAGTAAGGAGATCAGGGGTTCTCTCTGACATGGACTCAGTGGCCAGTTCTTTGATCATCTCCCCATGGTGAGGTAGCCTTGCTGGGCCACAGAGAAAGAGAATCCAGGCAGTCCTGATGAGACTTGATAGACTAGGGTCAGATAGTAGGGGAGGAGAATGTCCCCTATCAATAGACTAGGGGAAGGGCATAGTGGAAGTAGAGGAAGGGAGAGAGGGACTGGGAGGAGATGAGGGAGCAGACTACAGCCGGATACAAAGTGAAAAAAAAATATATTAATTAATTAATTAAATTTACCCTTCTCTCCAAAAACAAAGGCAAACCTGACGTATTACATCATGGTCCAAGCAGAATGCAATCATCGCAGCATCAACTTAGGTATTTTGCATCCCCCTCCCCCAGGCTTGAGCTAGGGCTTAGTTATGCAGCCCAGCCTGGTCTCAAATCTGGGACACTCCTCCTGTAAGTCTCCTAAGGGCTGGAATGAAACATATTGCACTACACCCAGCTTTTAACTTACAGTTTTCAAAAGTTTTGAATCCCTTTTACTATCCTTTGGTTGTATTCTTTTTTTCCTTTTTTTTTTGAGAAAACTTGCCATATTTAACTTGTAGATCTATCCTTTCCCTGCAATTTCCCTCCTAATGCCTCATCCTCACATAAATATCTGTCTCCACTCACAAGTGTCAGTTCCTGTGGTAGCAACTCAAGGAGTATTCATGGTCGGAGGAAGTGGCCATGAAAGCCAGAAGACCTGAGTTCTGGCTCATTCTGCTGCCAATGGTCTTAGTGACTGTCCTTTACCATGATTAAGGTTCTCTCTGTGTAAAATGAGCAAATTGAAGTACAGTATGTCTAGGGTCCTTTCTGATTTTCAACAGTCTGTGCCAATTATTATTTTTTTTTTGAATTTTATTTTTTTCTTATCAGTTACATTTTATTAACTCTGTATCCCAGCCGTGTCCCGATCCCTCATTCCCTCCCAGTCCCTCCCTCCCTCCCTCATCTCCACCGTGCCCCTTGCCAAGTCCACTGATAGGGGGGACCTCCTCCTCATTCATCTGATCCTGTTTTTTTTATTTTTAAGAGCCTTTGAAGTTTTTAAACCTTTTGTCTCTTCTCTTCTCCATTATTCTAACATCTAATCAGTCTATATGTACTTTCTCTGCTTAGAATGAGTCCAAATATATAGCTCCACACAGATATGCATACAGGTACAATATAGATTAGATTTACTGCTTACCTGGATATATTATAGGTAGTATATTATATTATAATTATATTATATACCATATAATAAATATTAATATATTATATTATATCATATCATATTATATCATATCATTATATATTATTATATTATATTTATTATATTATTTATGAAATATGGTACTGTTTTGAGGAACTATTAGCCAAGATACAGCATACAGTTTCTGTGATTGAGTATCTCTAGAATATGAATGCAAACATTAGTGTTTTGAGCTTTACCATTTGGGAAGTTTATTTCTGAAGGAGTACTAGGTAGAGATCCAATAGATTTGAAAGTGGAATTGGTTGTTGTTGATTTGAGTGATAATGTCAATAATTTGGGCTCATGGGCTTCCTTCAGTCTCTTCTGTTTATGCCTAACATTTATCCCAAACCTGCTTCTTCCATCTGAAATGACATCAGAAAAAAAGTTAAACAAGTAAAATGTATCAAATTCTATGCTTAAAATGGGTGAAACGGTGATCTAGTTAATTATAGTGCCTTCAGTGTTCCCTCTAAAATATGAAATTCAATGCTTAATGTCTCTTTATTCTTGTAGTCGGTTTTTCTATGAAGTTGTAAAAAGTAAATTTATACTGTGGTGTGTGACACATGAAAATACAATGCACTTAACAAGGATGTCTGTTTTCCCTAAAGTATAAGGACTTGCAGGTCACTAGTACACCCAGTGGAAAAGAGGGATCAGGTGCTGCCTCTGACGTGAATTCAGTTGCCTGCTCTTTGATCACTTTCCCTGGCGATATTGCCTTGCCAGGCCACAGAAGAAGAGGATACAGGCAGTTCAAATGAGACTTGATAGACTAGGGGCAGATGGCAGGGGAGGAAAACTCCCCCTTTTAGTGGACTAGAGGAAGTGGGTAGGAGGGGATGAGGGATGGAGAGTGGGAGCAGGAGGAGATGAGGGACGGGCTCAGGATAAAAAAATGAATAAATTGTAAAAAATAAAATAAAATAAAACAATCAAAATAAAGATACCTGGGTGCTACTTATAGACTCCTAGAGTAGAAAATGTTGCTTTCCTGAAGGAAGAAGACTGGCCTTTGTATGGATACTGAGACAAGCTGCCAGAATTGAAGAGAAGATCATTTGATAATAGAACAGCAGTTTATTTTGGAGATTGCATTGAACCTGTAGATTGCTTTTGGTAAAATGGCTATTTTTACTATGGTAATCCTACCAATTCATGATCATGGGAGATCTTTCCATATTCTGATATCTTTTTTAATTTATTTTTTCAAAGACTTAAAGTTCTTGTTGTACAGGTCTTTCACTTGCTTGGTTTTTGAGTTACTCCAAGATATTTTACATTTTTAAGGCTACTGTAAAAGATATTCTTTCCCTGATTTCTTTCTTAGCCCATCTGTCATTTGTATATAGGAGAGGTATGAATTTTTTAATTAATATTATATCCTGCCACATCACAGAAGATGTTTATCAGCTGTAGGAGTTCCTTGGTACAATTTTTAGAGGTCTCTTATGTATACTATCATATCCTCTGCAAATAACAATACCTTGATTTCTTCCTTTCCAATTTCTATCCTTTTGATTTCCTTTAGTTGTCTTCTTGCTCTAGCTATGACATCAAGTAGTATAGTGAATAGATATGGAGAAAGTGGACAACCTTGTCTTGTTCCTGATTTTAATGAAATTGCTTTGAGTTTGTTTCTTTGATTGTTGCCTAGCCCAATTGTCATCAGAGAGGCATCCTCGGACATGTAACAGGAGCAGATGCAGAGGCCCACACCTAAGCATCAGACAGAACTTGGAGAACCTGCAGAAGTGGGTCAGGAAGAATTGTAGGAGCTAGAAGGCTTGAGGACACCAGAAGAACATGGACCACAGAATCAACTAAGCATGGCTCATAGGGGCTCACAAAGACTTAAGTGGCAATCATTGAGCCTGCATGGGTCTGTACTAGATCCTCTGCATACATGTTGTGTTTTTGTTGTTGTTGCTGTTTTGTTTTGTTTAAGCTTGAGTTATTTATAGGGCACCTAATAGTGGAAGTGGGGTTATCTCTGACTCTTTTGCCTGCTCTTAGAACCCTTTTCCTCCTACTGGGTTCTTTGTCTAGCACTGATATGTGGGTTTGTACCTAGTCTTATTACTATTGTGTTATGCTGTGTTTAGTTGATATCACTGGGAGGCTTGCTCTTTTAAGAAGGGAAATGGAGAAACAGTGGATCTAGGGGAGAGGTGAGGTGAGGAGGGGGACTGGGAGTAGTGGAGGGAGGAGAGGCTGGGGTCAGGATGCATTATATAAGAGAAGAATAAATAAAAAGAAAAAAAAAGAGGGAAAAAGAACACTAGTTTGCCTCCAGTGAAGATATCCTCAAGGGAAGGGCTAGTGTTGAGAGGCAACATTAGGGGCCACTATATCTCTCACTTGTCAATGAGTCCCATTAGAAGAGCCACTCAGGCAGCTCACTTGTGAAGCATCTTAGAAATGCTGACAGTTCACTCCACCTGTCACCACTCCTTGATTCTCACATGCACTCAGCCTACTGTTGGCTACTGGCCAAACGGCCCTAGGACCCAGTTCCTGAAACACATGAAGTACTCAGCCAATTTTCTTCTAACAGAAGCACAGGTGAGATGACAAGCAGTCTAAGAAATCTGGTTCCAAATAAAAGCTCGAGAGGTTAAGACATGACCCAAGCCACAGTCCTCCCTTGACTTCCTTCATCTTAGTACAAAGCCACAAGTCATTTTCATGCCACAGACGCAGCCTCCATTTTGGTAGTTTTGTCATAGGAATGCATTAGGAGAAAAACTGATATGATCAATACTGTAAAGTGTATACAATTAAAAGCCTTACCTACATTGACATCTTACCCGAAACATTCTCCAGCCGAAGCCACCTGCAATGAAGGTGCATGTGCCACTGCTCCCGCACACTCTCCTTCATCACACAGTAAAAGACAAAAATGAGGAACCCTAAGCCAAGAGAACAGGATCAATCATTTCACCTTCCTTCACCAGTTAGCACTGATTTCCTGTCTTGGGCCTATTCTTGTCACCATCAATGGTGCTTCTAATGAATCTCGGGGGCACTAATTTCTTTCTCATTTCTTTATGGCTTCTCCAAGTGAAGGAATAGCATAAAGTCAGTATTAAGACTCCATAGCCACCATTGTTTTTCTCCTAGGCTGATATCATATATCATGAGACACGGGGCTCCTATGATATCCCGACTTAGAGATAGTGCTCAATGATTCTCATCTTCATGCACTCTCATTCACATCCTTCACATGTAGCATCCTCTCATATAACAATGACATAGGGCAGAATTAGGCTATAAAAGATATCCCCCTGCATCCACTCTTCAAGAAATTAAGTATTTTGTCTTGACAATATCTTGGCATGTAGATGCACATATGGTGAGTCCTGCCTGTATGACTGAGTCTTCTAGGAAGCAGAAACTCCAGCCCTGGATAGCATCAGCACACAGCTTGACTCCAAATTCATGATGGTCTCTGAGCCAAAAGTATGTAGTTAAGTTGTGCCTGGATTCCTGACCCTCAGACAGTTTTGAGATTAGAAATGTATGTAGTATTAAGGTGCTGAATTTAGGGGGTAGGTTGTTACACGGTCATATACATCCGGTGCACGTGTTTTTTGGCATAACTGAGGCATGTGCAAAGCATGTCCATCTCTGACATTATCTGGAAAGTGAGAGGGAAGTGCTGGAGATACCAATTGTCAAATGTGGGACATTTTTCATTTCTGTCCTATAAACCAGCTTCTGAAGAGATGAAAGTAGCACTTAAGATGACCCTGACTGAAAATTCCCTACAGGACTAACTGGATTTCTTCAAGATGGGGATGGAATTGGCAGAACTAATTCTTGTCAACAAGATGACTTTATTTACAGTCCACACCCAAAATCACTATCTACAAAGCCCTTACAGATACCTCAACCTTAAAAGCAACCTTCCCACTTCTGAGTTGCCATAATACTTTGCTTCATATAATATGTGCCCTGTTAGCCATATAATTCTCTGCATATTGCCCATCTTATCTTCCAGCTGTCAAGCCTTTGAAGGTCTGGCTTCTGTCTCCTTTTCATCTTCATATCACCTTTTCCTTTGCCTCCAGCACTATGTGGCAGCTCAGTAGAATAGACAGTTGTTCACTTGAACTTCCAGGAATTTGACACATAAATTCTCATTGTTATCTATAGCCTCAGTAATAACTGTTTGGACCTAAAACTATACATTTTTTTTTAGTTCAAGTGTTATTTGGAAATATTTGTTCTCCATAAAGAGTTCAACATGCCTCTACATTGGCAAATTGTCCTGCCAGTAAATTGTTTTTAGCACTCATTGCAAACTGAGCACAAGTCAAAAGGATAACTAACATGAAAACTTATATCAGCTACTGCCTTAGTGGAATATATATATATTGCTTAGTACTGGGGACTGAACGTAGGTCTTTATACATGATCAAAAAATGCTCTACCACTAAACTATATCCCTAGCCCTCCTTTTTTAAAACTTTTTTATTTCAGAGCAAGGTCTCACTGAGTTCTCAGGTTGTTTGTGGCTTTGAACTTGTAATTCTCTTACTTCATCCTTCAAAGTACTTGTGATTACAGGTCTGTGCTATGAGGTCCAGCACAAAGTCAAGAATCTTGGATTGGAGCAAGTGATAATCTGCTGAAATTTACCCTGTTTGACTATACCTCTCACTAGTTCAAAGGGGGCACCAGTTCAAAGGATGCTGACAAACAGAAGTTCTCAAAAGCTGAGCCAGGTAGCATGGTGATGAACATGAGAAAATCGGGGGTGCTGTATCTAGATAAGAAAATACTTGCAGTATGTAATACAGGATGAGGAGACATTATGGCATTAGTCACAGATCTGAGAGGTCTGTCATTAAGAAAATAAATCATTCTTGCTCTGTGTGATTGCCAGATCGGAACTAGGAGCTATGGGAAGAGACACCAGATCAGTCACATGCTAACAAATCACAGCTAGTATTTACTAAGCAATGACAGTGTAACAGATATTGTGTTGTTTTCGTGTTTATGGGTGAGAGGATTTGGAATCTATGGTGTTTAATAAACTTTTCCTAGGTCACAGAGCTCGTCTTGAGTTAACAACATTAGCACTGAGCAGGGACTGACTGACTATAAAGCTCAAGGTCTTAACCACTGCACTATCTTTCTGTCAAAGGAAGAAGACTGGGGTAAGGATCAGAGAGGATCAGAAGCTAAATGCTCTGCTTCATGGAATGCTGAGCTTTCAGTCCCTGGGAAGTTTCAGGAAGAACCAAATGACTTCATGTCATTTGATGGAGAATTGGATTGGCAAGATCTTTGTTCCCTGGTCCCAGCCCTGAGACTCCCTGATACCAGGTGGGAGGCAGCAATCTGGAGGCCTGTGTCATTTCCTCCCCAAAGGACTTTATCACTATGTGGAACCAAACAACAGCAATGACGAATGCAGTATTCTTGTCTCTTTCTGGGCAACAGGCGCCTGGAAGGAAGCACAGCAACCTGAGAAGAGCAAACCTCAGCCTCAGAGCAGGGAGAACTCTGACTACAGCATGAACAGAAGACAACAGTGAAAAATGAGCACCTAGTGCTGCTCTCATCTCCCGTTTGCACTTTTGTGAGTTTTCATACTTAAAGATTATTCTGTGAATTCCAATGAGCTGCCTGCCAGCTCTTCTTCCCCTGGCAGCTTTCCTTTCCCACAACACATTGATAGGCTTTTTCACTACAAGATAGGCAAGAGGGAAGATGCTAGGTTGTTTGCTCTGTTTTTGTGTGTACCCCCTCCTTCACAAGGCTCATCCTAAGCTTAATTTTTATTTTCTTACCTGGCCACAGGACATCCACCATTCAGTCATGGCTACAAATTAACCATTTGTCATTCAAATTGCTAGTTTGTTCACCTGTCTCATTGTGTGTGTGTGTGTGTGTGTGTGTGTGTGTGTGTGTGTGTGTGTAACTTGACTTTTAAATTCAGAGCTCTGAAAATACCCTTGCTAAATGACTGCACATCCTATATTGTAGGCAAGACTAAGAATGCTTGATCGACAAAAACCATGTCTGACAGACAGAGAGACATCATGCCTCTGTTCACATTGGTTCTATGAGATTCCTGCTTTCATCTTCAAGAGAATAGTTGATTAACTTCTACATACTATTTTCCCTTCTACCAAGGGATGGATCAATGACTATGTTAAAAACATCTTCTTTTCAAGTTCCAACTGACTTTATAGTCTTTCTTGAATCCCACTTTTAATACTCAGGACAAATTTCTCCTCAGATTAGTTAGCCAGAGAGCATCCTTGAGTTAGCACTAAGAAGGGAGGTCTGCATGGGATCCTAATCCACTTCTATGACCACTCTCTAGAAAGATTGGTTAGTTCCTGTGACATAATATAATTCCCAGTTATGGCACCTCAGTCTCAGCCAGGTGGCTTTGTCCACAGTAGAGCCATTACCTCAATCATCAATCTCCATCACCATCAAGTGTCAGCAGCCACAAAAGGCAGTGAGTAAGAAGTATGCCAAAAGCTGCTAAGACTTTTATCTCTTCTACCAGATGCAATCAAAAGGCACTGAAGTGCCTGAGGAGACGGGTTAGATGGTAAGAGTACTTGATGTATAAGCATGAGGCTCCATTTTCAAAGCTTTAGCACTCATATCAAAAGCTAAAACTGCACAGACACCTGTAGCCCGAGTGTTATGTGGGAATTGCTGGAGCTTGCTGGCTGTCAGCTTAGCTCCAGATCCACTTAAGGGACCTTGTCTCAAAGTAATAAGGAAGAAGTAAGTGCTGGAAGAGGTCAACCTGTGAGTATGGCCATGAATCTCCACATGCACATACCTCTTTCTTTCTCTCTCTCTCTCTTATATACACACGCATATGCGTGCACACACACATGTGCATGCATACACACACAGCATACAGGAGAAAAAAATATGTTTTATACTTTCCTATATCCTACTAAGAACTTTGGTCTTCAGCTCTGTGCATTAAGCAGCTGTGTGAGTTCAATTTTCTGGTCTGGTGGTTTAATAAAATATTAAGATATATGATGTAAATGGAGCCTGTGCAGTTAAAAATTTAAGGTCTCTACTGTCTAGTAATTGGTATATTCAACTAATTCAACTAGACCATGCACTCCAAACTTTAAACCCAAGCATGAATCTATATATCAGCGAACACAGTTTGTTGATATAATGAGTCCTGTAAGAAACTTTGCCATTCACTGTTTGATGCAGACATCACAAACTAGATAAAGTTGTGGTAACTTATTTGTAATGTTCCCTCCACCCTTGAGCAAGAGTGGGAGCTATGTATTCACTCAATGAAGGCTAACATCTACCTAGTATTTCCAAAGACCACTTGTTGACCCATTATGAGCAGGGATTTCCTGATGTATTTTTTCTTCTCTCCTTTAAATTCCGGAATGTGAGATTATTTTCCAAAACAACACAAATGTCTTTGCTGGAGGTCTAGCTAGCCACAGAAAGAGCCGACATACAGTAGTTACCTTGCAAAGTATTACAAATGGCAAAAAGATACATGAAAAAGATCCTCACAGGTCCCCAGGCAAAAAAGGCAAAACCCCAGGTGAGGCCGAGTAGGAATGTCAGACTGATTGTGCCTTTGAGGTCATTCAGGATCATCTTCTTTCGAGTCTTCTGGCTTTGGGATTTCACCGAAGCCAATTGAATGAGAACAGTGCAAAACATGGAGAGATTCGTAAGAAATATGAGGCAAAAATAAGCCACAACCCAGATGTAAAAGATGTGATCATCTTTAATCCAACAACTGTACAGAGAAAGGAAGAGAAGACTGCTGTGAGTCATGATCATAAACTACTGCTTTCTGGGCACTCCAAGGTCACCTGGTCAGCTTCATTGAATCTAAGGACCCCCAATTAGGTAAAGTAAGACAGTGGAGTTCATTCATACCCCCTAGAGGCAGAGCTGGGTTTAATTTACTCTCCTGAGCCCTAGTTCTGGATACCTTCTAATAGAAGCTTTAGTCCTACAGGACACATAGACAGCAACCTCAGTAAATTTCCCTGAGAAACTATTCTCTTCTTTAACAAAGGAAAAACAAATTATGTATTTTTTTCTCCAAAGAAGATCTTCTCACCCTGCGCACACCCTAAACCAGAGCTTTTATTTGCAAGATGAATTCTGCTTTGCATGAGAAATATTACAATAAAAGGACAGGAGCAAGCAAGAACATTCCTGAATGCTATATCAAACAATGATAAGATGATCAGAGTTAATGAAAATGCAACAAAAAGAAGACTGCTCTCATTGTGCTGCTTTAAAATATAGTGAATTTGGACCACAAAAGGCAGCAGTGATTACTGGATGGCTTAATGGCTCTATACTTGCTATTAAAGAAGAGATGTATAGTGGTTCCTGAGAGCAGATACTTCATTGAACAACATTTCTAACTATGAGACTCATTGCTTTTGAGTTTTGAAGGCAGACAAGCTTGACTAAGTCAACTGTGTGTCTAATTAACTGGAATCTCTTTCTGAGTCCAGAAAGAGTCCTTTGGGACATGTTGTCCACACTGGTAAATGTCATTTTGTGTGTATTTGTAATAACCAGAAGCTGGAAACAACCCAGATGTCACTCAGTTAAGGAGTGGATACAGAAACTGTGGTACATTTACACAATGGAATACTACTCAGCAATCAAAACCAAGGAAATCATGAAATTTGCATGCAAAGAGTGGGAACTAGAAAAGATAATCCTGAGTGAGATATTCTAGAAGCAGAAAGACACACATGGTATATACTCACTTATAAGTGGATATTAGAAATATAATATACGACAATCATACTAAAATCTGTACACCTAAAGAAGCTAAGCAAGAACGAGGACCCTGGGTAAGATGCTCAATCCTCATTCAGAAAGGCAGATGGGATGGACATAGGAAGAGGGTGAAAACAAGGAACAAGACAGGAGCCTACCCACAGAGGACCTAACCATTCATGGAGATAACCTAGAACCCCTGCACATATGTAGCCCATGGCAGCTCAGTGTCCCTAGGGAACAGGGACTTTCTCTGCCATGAACTCAGTGGCCTGTTCTTTGATCACCTTCCCCTGAGGAGATCCAGGGAGAAGTGTCACAGATGAAGACAATGCAGCCAGTCTTGATGAGACCTGATAGACTAAGATCAGAGGGAAGGGGAGGAGGATCACCCTTTCAGTGGACTGGGGGAGAAGCATGGGTAGAGAAGATGGAAGGAGAGTGGAATTGGGAAGGGCTGAGGGAGAGGGCTACAGTTGGAATACCTAGTGAATAAACTGTAATTAATAAAAATAAATAAATTATAAAATCAAAACAAAACCAAAAAACATTTAACTTCTCCAACAGAGTCTCAGTCTATCATTTTCTGCCTCAAGTAAAACTATAGAAAACTCTTCTCAAAATTAGGCAGCACTATATTTTCAGATGCAGATGACCTCTGAGTGAAAATATCAGTATGCAGCCTGGTGCGGCAGTGCATGGCTGTAATCACAGCAATCAGGGAGGCAGAGGCAGGCAGATCTTTAAGTTCCAGGCCAGCCTAGTCAACAAAGTGAGTCCATGACAGCCAAGGCTACACAGAGACACCCTGTCTCAAAACAAAACAAAACAAAACAAAACAAAAAACCAACAACAACAACAAAACAACTAAAAAGAACAAAAAAGAAAGAAAATATCAGTACACAAAAATAGCATACACGTAAAAAGTGAACCATGGGGCTGGAGAGATAGTTCAAGTCAAGACCACTTGTTGCTCCTGCAGAAGAACTAAGTTTGATTCCTGACACATACATGGTGGCTCCTATCCATCTAAAACTCAAATTCTAGGGATCTGGATTTCTTCTTCTGACTCCCCTGGGCACCACAAATGCATGCAAAATGCTCACACCCATAAAATCAATCCATCTAAAGGAACTGCTAAAGTAAGTCACATAGAATGGGAGAGCAGATAAACAGTCATCAGAGCCCGGGAAGAATAGGAGGGACGGTACAAAGCCAGTAGAGAGCAGGAATATGTTCCTGTGTTCTACTGCACAGTGTGGCCACTACAGTAAATTGTACTGTGCTGTATATTTCAGATTACTGAGAAGAAAGGAGTTTGAGTGTTGGTACCACATAGAAATAATACATTTTGGAAATAATAGATACGCTATCATGATTTGACCATTATACCCTAAAGATATGTATTCAAATGTTTTGCTGTATTCCACAGTATGTATCATAAGTAAAGTAACTATCTGGGTGTCATGGATCAGGCTTGTAATATCACCAATCTGGGAAGCTGAGGCAGGGGTATTACTGAGTTCGAAGCCAGCCTGGGCAACACACCAACTTCCAGGGCATCCTGGGCTATATAGCAAGCCACAATCCCAAAATAAAAAGTGACAATAATAAAATAACATTTAAAATAAAACAAGCAAGTCGAAAAATATGTGCAAGGAAATAGCCACATGATTGACTAATGATAATAGGAGTTACCTGAAAGGAGAAACACTTAATAGCTGGGCATTGGGGAAGAGGCTTAGTTTTCAGCCTGAACCCTTTTGTGCTTTTGGATTTTGTACCCTGAGGTGAATTACCTTTCAAAGTATAATTATTTACAAAACAAAACTCTTACAGCCATCTGTCTCTCACTAACAAATCCACATATAAAAAGGCTCTTTGTGTGTGTGTGTGGGGGGGGGGGTTGATTTCATTCTGGTTTTGTTTTTGCTTTTTATCTTTGAAGAAGAATCACTGTGAGAGAGATACTGGGGACCTTTTAAGTCACGAAACAGGCAAAGAGGGATGACAGAGCTGGAGACAAGAAGGAAGGGGAAAGAAATGAGAGGGAAGTAAGGGAGAACCAGGAATTTTAGTTAAAAAGCATTTGCTGCAGAGGGCATTGTAATTTTGAACCTCTGGCAACTGCCATCTCAATAGGAAAGACAGAGAGAGGAGTGTTAGACATAGGGCCTCCTACACTCGATCCCAGCACAGCAGGACAGGAAATCTATAGTGGATGTGATTTTGAGAAGGCATGGCAAAGGGAACGGATATGGGGAACTTAAATAAAAGGTTGTACAGCCTGGAGAATTGCATGGCTCCAAAGAAGGCTCAAAAGAGATAGAGTAGAATAAAAAGCTATTCTTGTGATGTGGCTGAGTCAAAGAGATGGATTTATGCATCAGATTGTAAAGAGACAGAGAGCGAGAGAGAACAATAAATCTAGCCAGTTTACTGCAATGTGAAAATTTTTAGTCTCCCTCTGGAAAGATGGAACATGTTTCTCAACTCATTTCAATATTTCCTTAGACTAGCCACTAAATCTTTCCCATGGTCTGTGAGGTTTTGGAGCCAAAATAGCTGCCAGTTACATAGCATTAGCCACGGATAGGGCAACAAGTATGACACTTCATAACAGCAATGTCATTTTAACTTGCACACAACACTGAGAGCAATTAGCCCCATTTTCCAGAAAAACAAAAAACCAAGTGCGTCTAAAATGCACAATGGCTTAGTCATGATCATAAAGAATCCAAACACTTCACCATTCCACCATGGCTGTGTTAGAGCAGAAATACTGACAATGAGTTTCCTGAAAAGCCAGTGTTAAGACTAAGAGGCTGGCCAGTAACATCCCATTACTCCTAGAACTTCCACCGCCTGAAAAGCAAGAGACATTGGTACTTACAATGGAGTGGTTGGGCTCAGAGTTCCATAGAGGTCTTTTCTTACACTAAGTATGATGACCACTGTGAGTGCTGGAATTCCTAGAGTGGGTAAGGAAGGCACAGAAACCTGTTAAATCCAGGGGGAAGGATGCTAATCAAACAGCTGTGGGACAGATACATGAAGACATTGTTTAAATGAGCCACAGATGTGTGAACATCAAAATACAATTGTTTGCAAAATGTTTGTGAATTCTTCTAAGTTAAACATTTCTAAGAGTGTTCCAGTCTGCTAAACTAAGCAGGATGCCACTGGCTTCCATGCAATAGTCACTACTTACGAGAACAGCTCAAGAGCCAACAACTCAGTTTGGCAATAAAAGCATCTAGTTCGCCAGAATACAAGTCCACACAAAGCACTTCTTCTCAGGTGATAGGGCATCATTTTTTCCCTCCTTTTTAATTCTGTCCTTTCATTACTACTATGTCCATATTATCCATATAAATATAACAAGAATTATTGTAAGAATCCCTATTTCTTGTTCGGCTGCTTTCTGTTTGCTTGGGATTTTTTTTTTTTTTTTTTTTTTTTTGTGAGGCAGAGTATCATATTAGAAGCATGGCTGAACAAGAGTTCACTTTGTAGCCGAGGATGTCTTTGAATCTGGGATGTCAGGCAGGAGGTTCCATGTTCAGTCGTTAGTTTTTTATAAAATGTGGACAAATCTACTTTCCTAGAAATTTCATTTAATTAACTTGTAAATATAAATGTAATTAATTTATAAATTAATAAATTTAAATTTAATTTAAATTTCCTAGAATTTTTTTTATAATTTAATTTTATTTTTTTATTATTAGTTACATTTTATTAACTGTATCCCAGCTGTATCCCACTCCCTTATTCCCTCCCAATCCCGCCTTCCCTCCCTGGTCTCCTCCCTGTCCCTTTCCAAGTCCACTGATTGGGGAGGACTTCCTCCCCTTTCATCTGACCCTGTTTTATCAAGTATCTTCAGGACTGGCTACAAAGTCCTCCTCTGTGGCCTAACAGGACTGTTCCTCTGTTGGGGAGTGGGGAGGTCAAAGAGCCAGCCATTGAGTACCTGTCAGATAATACTCCCTGTTCCCCTTCCTATGGAAAACTAATTGGTTACTAAGCTATCACAGGCTACATCTGAGCAGAGGTTCTAGGTTATATCCATACATGGTCCTTGGTGGAGTGTCAGTCTCAGAAAAGACCCCTGTGCCCAGATATATTTAGTCCTTGTGGAGCTCCTATCCTTTCCACATCATACTAACTCCCCTTCTTTCATAGGATTCCTTGCACTCTCCCGTAGGTTTGGTTATGAGTCTTAGTATCTGCTTTGAAACACTGCTAGGTAGAGTCTTTCAGAGGCCTTCTGCAGTAGACTCCTGTCATACATCCAATGCACATCACATTTGTCTTTCTAAGTGAGGATTGATCATCTTACCCCGTGTCTGCTTTCTTGTTTATCTTCTTAAGGTGTATAGATTTCATTGTTTATCATATCTTGTAGATCTATATAAGCAAGTATATACCATGTTTGTCTTTCTCCTTCTGGGATACTTCACTCAGAATGATCTTTTCTAGATCCCACCATTTGCCTGCAAATTTCATGATTTCCTCCCTTTTGATTGCTGAGTAGTATTCCATTGTGTAAAAATACCACAATTTCTGTATCCATTCCTCCGTTGATGGACATCTGGGTTGTTTCCAGGTTCTGGCTATTACAAATAAAGCTGCTACAAACATGGTTGAGCAAATGTCTTTGTTGTGTACTTGAGCAAATTTTGGGTATATGCCTAGGAGTGGTATAGCTGGATCTTAAGGAAGCACTATTCCTAATTGTCTGAGAAAGTGCCAGATTGATTTGACTTCTTCCTTTCCAATCTGTATCCCCTTGATCTCCTTCAATTGTCTTATTGATCTAGCAAGGACTTCCAGCACTATGTTGAAGAGATATGGAGAGAGTGGGCAGCCTTGCCTTGTCCCTGATTTCAGTGGGATTGATTTAAGTTTCTCTCCATTGAATTTGATGTTGGCTATAGGCTTGCTGTATATTGTCTTTACTATGTTTAGGTATGTGCCTTGTATCCCTGATCTCTCCAAGACTTTAACATGAATGGGTGTTGGACTTTGTCAAATGTTTTTTCGGCATCTAAGAAGATGATCATGTGGTTTTTTTCCTTCAGTTTGTTTATGTGGTGGATTACATTGATGGATTTCCGTATGTTGAACCACCCTTGCATGCCTGGGATGAAGCCTACTTGATCATGGTGGATGATATCTTTGATGTGTTCTTGGATTCAGCTTGCAAGTATTTTTGCAACAATGTTCATAAGAGAGATAGGTCTGAAGTTCTCTTTTTTTGGGGGGTCTTTGTGTGTTTAGGTATCAAGGTGACTGTGGCTTCATAGAATGAGTTTGGTAATGTCCCTTCTGTTTCTATTTTGTGGAATATTTCGGAGAGAATTGGAGTTAGCACTTCTGGTAGGTAGAATTCTGCACTGAATCCATCTGGCCCAGGGCTTTTTTTGGAAGAGAGACTGTTGATGACTGTTTCTATTTCCTTGGGGGATATAGGACTATTCAATCTTTCTACCTGATCTTGACTTAATTTTGGTAGATGGAATCTACATACACCTTCACGACAGCCCACTTTGGCTTAGGAAGGCCAACTGCTAAATCTACAGAGATCCTAGTATTTCTCCTCTAGTTGCTCTTACAATGCTTCCAAACACCCTGTAGCAGCTTAGCAGTGCCCCTCCCGCATGACCCTGTATGTGTCCACGTAAGCCAGGGTGGCAAAGGCTTGCATCTCGGATTATCTGAATTTAACAGAATTTACTGTGTGTCTTCACCAATGGGAGAAGAACTTAGGGGATACCATAGCTCCCCTTTTCTTCTAGGAAGTTATCACGAGACATTTTCTTATCACCCCCTGGATCTGTAGAGATGTTAGGCTTTGTACCCTGATCCTCTTAAAGTGCAGCAGTAGAGTAGAAAAACCCTAGCTTCCATTTAGAACTGACCCCTCAGCAATAGAGAATGTCACCATTTCGACACTGTTATCTGTCCCCTTTCACTTTGGTGTTATTCTTTTCAGAACCTGGAGTGAGAAGTCAAGATCTGCAATTTTATCTACTTTTCTAATCACTGTGTGAATAATGAAGTGTATCTGTGTATGTCTCCTTGTATCTTTCTCCACTTGGCCTTAGCATGACCTTAATTTGTCATTATATTTATCACTTTTCAAGATTCTCCTGCCCCTGAGTACAATCCCTAGCTTTTCCTGCCTTTCCCTGTACCTTAGGAAGTAGCATAAATTGAGATGCTTTGAGAGACAAGAAGCAAGCTATAGGAGTTGTTGTCATGTATGGAATGGAGTAAAAGAAGGGGGAAGATCTGGTGAATGGAGCTGGGAATGAGTGATGAAGACGAAAAACAGAAGAGAAAGAAGAAAGTGTCCATGCTGAGCTCTATTCCTGGCTTTTCCAAGGGCAACAGTGGTCATGACAGTTAAAGGGTGTGGTAAGGGTCAATTTGAAGTCTTTTTTTTTTCCTGTCTCTCAGGTGATATGGTAAGATCATTGGTATTCAAAGTCCAAACTTTGAAGACAGGCTCCCTGGTTCAAATCTTGGGTATGTGTTTTACCAAATATAACCCTCCCCCCCCCCGTGTCTTCAGTAAGAATAATAAGAGGACCCACTCTATACAGATGCTGTGCAGACCGCATGGCTGGCACCTATAAGGGATACCTGACCATTCACTACCACATCAGTAAGTATTGTTGTGACTTCTGTAAGGAGAGAGCTAAAATCTCATAGGAGTGTTAGTATAGATGCAGCACAGAACACAAGCCAGTGTTCAATACACATCTGGCACAAACTCTTCACTCAGCTGAATGTATGGAACCACATAAGCAGGAAGAGAGATGTCCATTTAAACTCCAGTGATGTAATCCTCAATTCCTAAGCTACACTAGTAAGAAACTTGGGTCTGGAATTACAAGCCAAATGGTGCCTGCCATATTTTGAACAGGTCTTCCCAAGTTCATATTGTAGAAACTTGATCCCTATTGCCACAGTACTGAGAAATTAAATCTACAATAGTTGGTTAGGTGATAGAGGAACTGTCTTCAGGAATAATGCTTTAATCCAACAAATGAGTTCGCATTTTTTTTCAGCAGTGGGTCTCTTGAAAAAGGATCACTTCTGTCCCCTTCCCTTCACTCATGGTCATGTGATGCCCCACACTTTGTTATAACAGCACAGAGTGGTCCACATCAGATGTGGACTCTTTGATATTTTACATCCAATCCTCTAGAACTTAGAAAGACTATCTTTCTTTATAAATTACCCAGTTTCAAGTTTTTCTAAGAAGAGAATGGAGGACGAGTAGTAGAAGAAGGAGCAGGAGAAGGAGGGAGGAAGGAAGAGAAGAAGAAAGGAGAAGAGAATGAGGAAGGAGGATGAAAGAAAGAGGAGGAAGAGAAAGAAGAAGAAAAGGAAGAGAAGGAGGAGGAAAAAAAAGACTAAGTTGGAGCTAAATTTTTAAAAAGACAGTCTTTAAAAAGACATATCACAGCCAAGGCTACACAGAGAAACCTTGTCTCAATTCCTCCCCCACCCCCAAAAAAGAAAGAAAAAAGAAAGAAAGACATCAAGCCAAATAGTAAAATACTCACCCCAGCCAGCCACACAAAATTTCAGGATATAATTTGGAATGTATGTGTTGAAGACTTTGACTAGAGCAAAGTACATGTGGACTGCCTCCAGGCCCATCCAAGTCAAAGACACCAGCAGAAAGTAATGGAGTGCCACTGCAGCTGTGATGCATAGTCCTACTTTCTGAAATGATGTCAGCCAGGAATTAACCAAAAATGCTAGGTTGAGCATCAGTAATGCTGTGCATAGGTTGATCAGGATTTTGGAAGGATAATCTTTTCGAAGTTTGCTTTAAAACAAACAAACAAACAAACAAACGTTAGGATAGGCAGGGTCTCTCTTTCAAATAAAGCACTGCTACATCTTATCTAGTAAAACATCAAGAGTTGTTTATGAGGGTCTCATAAGTCCCCTTGCTGTAGTCTATGAGAGTTACAGTGGCCCTGTTTTCTTGTGAACACTTTCTCCTGTGGCTACTTTAAAATGTCATCTTTCCCAGGCATATCCCAGGGTCTGGATATTTTGACTGGTTGGTTGGTTGGTTTTATTGTTAATAAAATTAAATTGTTTGCTTGTTTATATTTTTTTGTTCTTGAGGCTCTCATACAGCTCTGAAATGAAATATATTTACCTCTATTTCCCGCTGCAACTCCTTACACACTCCTCTAACTTATCCCCCTCTCAATTCAAGCTCAGTTTTTAAGATAATTATGATTTTAATTAACATTTCCGTGATGAGTAATGATGTTGAGAACCTTACCATATGATCATATACTTACTAATCATTTGGATGCAAATTAGGGTTACCCATGAATGACCTTTTCTGTGAAGTGTTCTTTCAGTCTTTTTGTCCACTTTTCAATTTTCTGTCTTGTTTTTGAATTTGTATTCATGCCCAAGTACACACACACGCACACACACACACACACAATGCAAGTATCTTCTCCCAGTCTGTGGTTGTCCTTTTACTATCTTAATTTTTTCCCTCTGATGAAAGGGTTCTTGTTTTTAATGAAACTTTAGACTTTTCCTTTTATGGTTCCTGTCCTTGTATCAGGGTAGAGAAATTTTACTCTTAATTACAAGCTTCTTTCTTTTTAAATACTCCAATAAGAGTTAATTTTGCTTTATTTTTAACTTTCCAACTTCAGAATCTAATGATCTAACATCTTCCTATTGTGTTTTATTGATGAATTTAACAAGGTTTCAATGACAACACATCCACTAGACCAAGCTAAACTTACTCAAAACTAAGTTGTACAAACTTACTGGAAGGCTATGTATGTCACCATTGCAATCCCCAGGAAAATGGAGGAGATGCCACATCCTGTGTATGTGATAATCATTAATATCCGTTCATTCGCTGCATCCACTGTAGACCTGGACAAATCCTAGAATCACAATCCATAGTGATTTACATATCCATCAGAACAAGGTTGGAGGAAAATTCTTCTGGTGCTCATGAACAGTTGGTTCCCAGCACATATAGCAACCTTGCTGAAGCTCTTCTATAGTCAAATGGTATGGAAGTCTATGTGATAAGACCATATGTGGTTTGACCAGACCTACTAAAGCTTACCGAGTCACAGCATGGAAAGCCATCAACCACGGTGAAAGAACATTTAGTCCTTGGTTTCATTGTCATTAACATGTTCAGCACTTGAAAATATAACCAAGCTAATGGTTTTGAATTTGGTATATAAAATGAATCAATATCTGAATGGAGTGTCCCAAAATACTACACAGAACATAAAAAAATTCCCTTAGACCTTAAATAATGTTTATAAAATTAAAAAGATAAAGTGGTCCCTTTGTCTAAAGTAGTAGTCCAGTAAAGTCTTAATTTGAAAACCGCCAAAGATCTGAAATGACGTGCAAAACTATTGAATATATAAGTACACTGGTTTGGGAAGAAACCATAGCTTTCATTAGATGCTTATGGTTCTATGGCTCATAAATAGTTAAGACATGGGGATAGAGAGGTGGATCAGTGGTTAAGAGCAGTGACTTCTCTTCCAGAGGATCCAGGTTCCATTCCCAGCACCCACATGGCAGCTCACCACTGTCTATAACTGAAGTTCCAGGAGTTCTGACACCTTCACACAGATACACATGCAGGCAAAATGCCAATGCACACACACAAAAAATATTAAAATGTTAGGACTTTTTAAAATGCTAGGAAGTACTAATCTATTCTGAAAGTTCTTGACTAGAAGGGCTTGTACCCTTGCTGGGACATTTGACAGACCTAGAGATATTTTTTGGTTGCCACAACTGAGGCAGGTGCTGTTGACATTGACTGGGTAGAGGCCTGGGCTGCTGATATCCATCTTACAATATGCACAACTGTTTTCCACAACATAGAATTATGTGTTTCAAATAGCAATAGGGTTGAGATAAGAGAAACACTGATTCTCTCCATTCTATCATTCAGACCTCAGAAGAAAGAGCTAAGTTCCAAACAAGTAAGGCCCCTCAAATGAGATTGGAAAACTAATTGCTAACAGACCTGGAGACTTTTGACTCCTGTTGTAAAGGTCTAGCCAGTTGGTAGTGAACCAAAGAAAATTCTCACAAATTGGCAATTATTGACTGAATGCTTTTTATGGGTCAAATAAAAATTTTAAATGGATTATAAACCATGCTAAACTCAGGTGTAGATGTGCACCCCTATGCACCCAGTACTTGGGAGGCTCTGTCAGGAGGTCCGGACCAACCTGGGCTATACACTGATGCTGTATATCCACAGAGCTGCCTCAGCTATAGCTTCAGACTATATGAAGAGAAAAATAAACACCTGATTCTGTAAACATGATTGGAGGAGAGCCTTTTCTCTGCTTGTATGATTTTTTTCACTATTTAGCTTGCAAGTACATTAATAGCTTGAATCTAATAAAAAGTTGTCAAAATTCCATTGAAGAGTGATAAAGAGACAACTCACCATTAAAACTCCAAAGTGAGTGAGGTGGTTACACTGACAGATTGTGTAATTTACATTGGTTTCCTTTACTTTACAGCCTGATGGATTCCATCCACCTAGACCATCTGCAGGGGACAGAAGGGAATTTCAAGCAATTTTACTTTTCTCGGAAATGTTTAATTTTTTATTATATGCATCATCCGAACGTGTGTTATAATTAGCATTGTTTGTTAAGACAGAAAGGTATAATTGAACAGCAAAATTAAATTACATTTAATAGGCCAAATTAACATATGTGTCAGGGTGCAAGGGTGGGGATGGGCTTTATAAACAGTGTAATTTCATTGTCACCCATTTCTCTTGTTTCTGTACTGCCTCTACAGATTAAGATACAGCCTAATCATGAGCAACTGTTCCTGTCACCATGCTGTAGCAACATGTTTTGCAAGTGGCCAATAAAAGAAATAGATCTGGAAGTTTTAGAAGGACCTAGACCTTTGGAATACAGGCTGCCTCTTAGCCAACTTGGGACTGACATTTATATTAGAAACAGCCAGTTCCACCCAAGAAACTAAATGGACTCAAGCGATCATGGCCTGAAGATCCTTATGGCTAATTGGAGCCTTATAGATCTGGGGATAGAGAGCTGGTTTAGGATGGTAGTACAGCAAAAGACTTATCTCAGGACAGGTATCCAAGTGTGAGCAGAATTGTCTCTCTGGGATAATGTCATAGATGATAAATGTTCTAGACTCACAGCATAGAGAGCCAGGGGCAAGGGGTCTCCTGGGAGTACTCCAGCAACACAGGGATGAACTTACTGAAGCTATGGAGGACAGAGCTTGCCACTTTTTATGGGACCATTTTTCTGACAGGCTTGGCGGGGAGCCAGGAGAGGACACATTGTTTCTGTTTGTCAGAGGGTTAGTATTCTGTTCCCTGAGGAGTTACGTAGAAAGAGAAATGTCTCTCTTCTCCCGGATTTCTAGATGGGAAAAATATCCAAGCAGAGCTTCCTATGTAGAAGAACATTTCTCACCACTAGCCATGCATTCCTGGGAGATGATGATTGTGTAGGAGAATTCTTTGGGATTTGGTATTAACCCTAGAGACTCCAGTGGAGGTAGCAAACCTAATAGAAGCCAGTCAGGAGTAACCATACCCACCACTTTCACAGATGCACAGCTACCCAAACAGGGAGGGCTTTGGGGTACTAACAAAAATCTCATCTCCTCAATGAGATGATTAAAGGATTGGGTCCGTTCGAGGGCATAGGGCTTACCAAGGACTCACTATTCTTATGAAAGAGGGAGAAAAAAAATAAATAAATAGTGATAATTCCTATAGGAACGAACACTTAACAAGCCAGGTAATCACTCCTCAGTCCTCTTCAAATAACTCAGTTATTCTACACTGGGCCTTCTAATTGCATTTTTTCCTAGTCTTGCTTACCCATGCATTTATCTATTTTTGTAATTTCTATAACGAATGCCTTACCAAAAGGAGTTTTCTTAATTTTCATGCCCTAAAAGTCATGTAGGATATCTCTGTCGTGCAGAGTGTTCCGTAGTGCCTGATTGGACAGCAGCTGACAACACCCCAACCACCAACAGGGAAAAGGATGAGGGGGCAAAGTCAAAGTCTGCTTCTATAAATACTTACTGTTAGTGTCAAAATCCCAAAAGGCACAGTAAACTTGACCATAATTCTGCAACAATAAGAATTACAGTCAAATACCTTTTCTTGTGTTACCAAACAAAAACAATGCACATTTAAGCGTTTTCAAGTGTTTTGGCCAGCGGAGACAGAAATATACACACACGTAAGCACACACACACTCGCACACGGGGAGAGACATAGGGGGAGATCATTTATGGTTTGGTTTTAAGTATAACTCCACCTAGCTTTGGCCTTGGAAGTAAGAAAACAGCATGTCACTGCGTAGCAATGTAGCATGTGTCGTTTGGTATTACTGGGACCTGCCAATTGGTGCACTGCAGGGGGGAAGCTCTGGAGAACCAGTAAGCAACTGCTGTATAGTAGGTGTTCTTTATGAGGCTTTGGAATTTGGCACTCACAGCTGTGATCATTCCTAAGCACACAGAGTTGAGTTGCCTCCTCATTAAGCCTGTTGAAGATTCCTGAAATTTCCCTAGTTCCTACAATCTCTAGGAGACTGAGGCAAAGGATAATTAATTCCCAGGAATGATCTGATAGTCACAGCCCCAGTCTAAATTGAGAAATTTGACCAACCTGTTTCATTTTCAATCTGGTTTTTAAATTCCCTCTCCGAGCCTCCCTTGCTTCTCTTTAAGACTAGGGGGAAAATATGTTATACTATAAAGTCTCTTAGATAGGAAGTGAATACTTCACACTGGACACATATTAACATCAAAGAATGAAACAGTAACTCATTCGTTTACTAAAACTAAATTGATTATTTAGTAATATATGCCGTATGTTATTCCATACGATTATCATTTTAGTCATTTGATGATAAATATATGTTTTAATGTTCTTCATGCAAAATCAAAGAATACAAATGTTATTTTCAATGATGTTGTTTATCTCACTCAAAAAATGAATGCAATTAAATGGCATTTACTGTTACAACTAAGAGATCTGCTTATTCTTAGTCACTGTCTTTCTAGAAGGCTCACTATCCAGGATCCCTTGGGGATATGGCATTATTTCTAGAAATACCTAGTTCTAACATACTTCCACCTAGAACCAGAAAAATCAACATGGAGTCTTTGAATTGAATGTAAATTGACCATTTATTTTTCAGCAGGAAAATCACTTTGAGGTCCTGAGGTCATTTGATTCTCAGATGAAAATAGATATATTACCCAGTTTCCTTGAATATGCTTAAGAATGATAAGCACTGGACCAGCCAAGTTTTGAATGGACATATTTGAGATGCTTGCACTGACAACATATGTCATTAATGAAGTATTGTTGTTTTGGGCCTGCAGATGAAACAAAAAGGTCCTAAACATCTAATTTCTTACATAACCATTATCAATCTAGAATCAATGGTGTGCTACACAGTTTTGGCATAGACGTGAAAAACAGTCTACAGATGAATTTTCAAAGTCAATCAGTCCATCTCTTCATCACATAAAGCTCAGTTATAACAAGTTAGAACAATTCATTTATTTATCCATTCATTCACCCACCCATCTATCCAGAACATATCTAACCAATCAATATTGGGTTTGTACCAGCTATTCAATGCTGCTTTTACAACAAAACAAAATATTCTCTACCTTAATGCTCCAGATTCACACATTGCACAACTTAACTTGGTTCTAACTCTTCACCATCCTTATAAAGACAACTTTTTAAATAATGAATCTGAATCCATTATGAAGTTTTTACACACTATTTTCATAGTCTGTCCCCCACAGGAAAAGGAAGTATATTTATCAATATCCAGCTTGGTATATGTGTTAGAAGAATTTGATGATGATCTCCACTCTTGAAAACCCTTTAGTCTCATGCTGAAGTCCAGACATTATATCCTAGCATGCCTACACAGCCTAATATGCAGCAGGTATTTCCTCTTTTGGCTTCTGTGATCCAGATAACTGGCTAAGTGATTTTCACATGCATATTATTCAGCCCTCACTGACATCATATGGCCTTTTTTTTTCAGCTAAACTGAGACTTGGGTAGGTTCAGTACCTATATGTACAAAGATCATACAACTAATGAGAGGCAGGAAAAGGATGTTTAAGAATGTTAATTTAAGGGCAACAAATTAAAGAATATTTGTAAAGATATGAGACTCTATAATAACAAGGCTGAAGTTGCAAAGGTCAAGACTCCATAAGGCTAGTTAAATGAGTGCCTGCTGTATTGCTTGTATAAAACCACAGGTATAGCTAGAGTGAGAGAGGAGGAAGATGAAGAAAATCCTAGAAGAAGTTTCTAAGAAAGCCTGATGTTTAAATGACATCCTTGAAGAGCCTACTGGACATGGTTGGAAGACATCACTGAGGACAGGGTGTGCAAAAATAGCTAATCCCTTGTCAACCTAAGCACTTAAGTAACCATGCATGTGGTCTTGGTCAACTTGGAAATGTCCTACTTTATGTTCATGGCCATAACATTGTTATTGTTCATCCTAAACAATGTTGTGATGGTTAATATTGTTAAAGGGACACGATCTAGAATCATATAGGAAATAAACATCTGGGCAGGCCTGAAAAGGATCATCCGGCTTGGGTTGTCCTCTGGGCATACTGGTGAGGGATTATGTAAACACAGAAGGCCCAGTCTAAATGTAGGTAGTACCATTCCTTCAACTAGGAGTCCTGGAATGAATGAAAGATGGATAGCTGAGCACTAGCAGTCATTTGCTTCTTTGATGCAGACATAATGTGACAAGCTTTCTCAAGTTCCTGTCACCAGGGTTTCCCTACTACCTCAAATCATGAACCCCACACCAGCCTTTTCTTGCATAATTTCCAACAATGACACAAATAATGAATGCACATTCTGACGACTTAGTGTTCTTTTCTCGTCAGAGTTCCCTAAGGCAGCCTGCTAAGGTGGAACATCATGAAACTATGATTGTGGTAGGGTTTTGCTGACACCCAAGAGAGTAAGTGCCTACCCAAGCCTTCTGGTTCCTCCAAAGACCTTCTTCTTTCTGGACCATTGGTAACATGATGACATGATAACATCTATTGGTAAGTAGATGACCTCTAATTATTCTCCCAATTTGGTCTAAGATATACAGCTTTCTGCAGTGTAAAGGCCAAGGGAAGAACTTCTCACAATGACCAAAGACTTAACTAACTAAGCTCTTAGGATTCATGTCTCTTATGTACAACATGGTAAAAATCATTTCTTGCTCCTCTAGACTTAAGTTTCCTCTGTGTCAGCTCTATCCACTCTTCATTTCATCTTGGGGCCTCTTCAGAGCTGAGATATCCCCTAACTCAGGCTGCTTTTGCTCTGTCCTCCCTTACAGTCCTAGAGTCCCTATGCCACACCAGGCTTGCTGCAGCTACTGGAAAGAAGGAGAATGTACAAGATGTTCAAGAGTGGTGCATTATCAGCAATTTATAAGGTAATATTTTATAATGACTGTCAAGATTTTGACCAAAAGATATTAGAGGAAGCTGTATAGATCTAAGGCTGGGGCCCAGGCACTGAAGATTCAGAAAGGTATTTACAGGGTAGCATGTCTTCAATCATGCAATCCTCAGCCACCAGTGACACAGGGCCTAGACCCATGTACTTCTTTCAGTGCAGGAATCTTTTTTACTGCATTTTATATAAGGGTAGGCCCTAGCTCTGTTTTGCTTAGCACCATAGCCCCATCACCTAGTACCCAGCACCATGAAAGACACAGAGTAGGAATGAAATAACTACTTGTCAAATAACTAAATGATTGGGTAAATAAAATAGTGAATTGTGTCACCTTTAGTAAATATCTTTCTCTTTCTGGGTCTTGGTGACTTCACTGACACAATAAAGATAAGTGACACTGAGTTATAAGGGCCCTTCCAGCTTGGAATTTGATGACTAACTGGTTCTAACCCTTCTTCATCTGGCACTATGACGTCTGTAGGCTAATTTGGGTGAAGGTCTTTAGTCTATTTCAATGGAAGGTGCTAGAGAATCAAAATTACTTATTAAGTTTAGAATCTATGCAAAACAAGTTTATCTCTTATTCTGAGAGATAAGCACAGCCATTTGAAGGAAGGAGGGAAATTAAGACCAAAAATAATGGCATCTCTGATGATATAAAACAGTGACAAGAATATCAAAAGGTTCAGACAGCTTTGGAACACATTTTAAACCATTATTACAAAATTTGGTTCACTAATTTTTTTCAGAGTACAGAGAAGAGAGAATGGACTTATTAATTCTAAGGAGGTGTCCTGGAGAGGAATTGAACTAAACCTACAGGAACAAATAGAATTTAGCTGAAGAAAAGAATGGCCATCGAATGCTAGAAAAACAGAAAACTTTGCAAATACATTTGGTGATAATATGGTCCTCTTAAACTGGTAGGTGCTAAAAGTGTCTGCTATATTTTTATCCTCTTATTGTAACATTCCCGCCCCCCCAAAAAAATAAGTCTGTGATTATTTGACCACTAGGAATTCATGCCTTTGGATGATTCCTTAGTAATGCAAACATACTGGGGCAAATTAATGCATTAACTTCAAAAATAAAGACTTTGAGGTTGGGGAGATGGGTCAGTGGTTAATTTATTTCTGCATAAGCAATGGACCACTGTTTGGATTCCTGGAACCCATGTAAAATAGCAGGTGGGGATGCTGGTTCACCTGTATTTCCTTCCTTGTAAATCAGAGACATGGGATTTACAGACTAATGTCATTGGCAAGTTCTGGGTTTGACTAAGAGACCTTGAACAATGTAGAACAACTATTAAGGATGATTCTTGACATCAGTCTTGGGCCTCCACATTCATACATACACATGTGACTGTGTGGCTTCCCATACATATAAATATATGTGTGTGCCTATATATACAAACATGAACAAACCCCCCCACACAAACACTACATGCATGTTTATGAAAACAGACATAAATGGGAAAGAAAAAAATCATATATCAGAACTTTGGTGTTATATAGCCTGAATCTGATTCTTTTTTTTTTCTTTATTAATTACACTTTACTCACTTTGTATCCCCCCCCGTGGTTCCTTCCCTCCTCCCATCCCAATCTCTCTCTTCCTCCACCCTCTGCATGCATGCCCCTCCCCAAGTCCACTGATAGGGGAGGACTTCTTTTCCTTCTTTCTGATCCTAGTCAATTAGGTCTCATCAGGAGTGGCTGCATTGTCTTCCTCTGTGGCCTGGTAATGCTGCTTCCCCCTCAGGGGGAGGAAATTAAAGAGCAGGCCAATCAGTTCATGTCAGAGACAGTCCCTGTTCCTATTACAATGGAACCCACTTGGATACTGAACTGCCATGGACTACATCTGTGCAGGGGTCTTAGGTTATCTCCATGCATAGTCCTTGGTTGGAATAGCAGTCTCAGGAAAGACCCCTGTGCTCAGATTTTTTTGTTCTGTTGCTCTCCTTATGGAGTTCCTGTTCTCTCCAGATCTTACTATTTCCCACTTCTTTCCTACGATTCCCTGCATTCTGCCCAAAGGTTGCCCATAAGTCTCAGTATCTACATTGATAGTCTGCAGGGCAGAGCTTTTCAGAGGTCCTCTGTGCCAGGCTCCTGACTTGTTCCCTCTTTTCTCCTTCTTCTGATGTCCAGCCTCTTTGCCTTTCTGGATAGAAATTGAGCATTTTAGCAAGAGTCCTCCCTCTTGATTAGTTTCTTTAGGTGTATAGATTTTGGTAGGTTTATCCTATATTATATGTCTATATGAGTGAGTATATACCGTGTGCATCTTTCTGCCTCTGGGATAGCTCACTCAGGATGATCTTTTCCAGATCCCACCATTTACCTGAAAATTTCATGATTTCCTTGTTTTTTATTGCTGAGTAATATTTCATTGTGTAGATATACCACAATCTGTGCATCCATTCCTCCACTGAGGGACATCTGGGCTGTTTCCAGCTTCTGGCTATTACAAATAAGGCTGCTACAAACATGGTTGAGCAAATGTCCTTATTGTGTACTTGAGAATCTTTTGGATATATGCCTAGAAGTGGTATAGCTGGATCTTGAGGAAGCGCTATTCCTAGTTGTCTCAGAAAGCGCCAGATTGATTTCCAGAGTGGTTGTACAAGTTTACATTCCCACCAGCAGTGGAGGAAGGTTCCCCTTTCTCCACAACCTCTCCAGCATGTGTTGTCTCTTGAGTTTTTGATCTTAGCCCTGAATCTGATTCTTAACTATACCATTTCATCACTATCTGATCTTGGAAAAAAAACCCTATTTTTCTGAGCCTCAGTTTCCCATGAGAAGAAGATGAGGTAGTAAGCATAAATAATAACAACTAAAGCTGCATATGGCAATACATGCCCTTACTCCCAGAACTCAGGAGGCAGAAGCTGTAAGATCTCTGTCATATTGGTCTACAAAGCAAGTTCTAGGCCAGACAGAGATATATAATGAGATTTTGTCTCCAAAAAAAATAGCGTTTATTGTCCTGAACTTCACGTAAATGCTGGTTGCTGTCATCTCAACAGCATGATTAGATAGAGTGGTCGTAGGCAAAAAACCTTACCCGTAATACCAACAGCAATGCAAGCATTTACTCAGTGCTCAGGATGTGCCAGGCAACCCCAGGAGTACTTTACATGTATTAACTCCTTCAGTCCTTTAAGGGGTATATAAGATTCTGTATACTGTTTTACACTACAAGAAACTACAGCACACAGAGAAGGAATCATACAGGGAGAAGACAGTGATGTCACCCTCAAGTCTCAGAAGCTGCTCTCCAAGACCATGTCTCACCACATTTCACTGACTCTCGTTTAAAGTGAGGTTTAGACCACTCAGAGCTAGAAGCCAGGAGAGATGTGGGGGTAGGGCAGATTAATAAGATGAAAGGCCATCCTATTAGGAGAACATGCTGTTCTTTTCTGGCTTTGAAACATCTTAAGATCTCCATTTGGTTCCCAGATAACCCTTAAAGTCCCATCCAAAGCTTAGGTGCTACGAAAATTCAAAAGTATAAAGCATCATTAAAGTAGATGTTGATTCATGCAGAGGACCAGGGGTTGTGCTGAAAGACTTGGAGAATCAATCAGAGCATATTCTAAAATAAACAGAACATCATGAAAATAGCAGGAGTTCATAATTACAGTGAGTCACCACGTCAGTTCATGACAGTTACCAGAGGCAAGAACTTACCTTAAAGAGTGAAGTTTGTCCAAAAAAATTAAACAAAATGGTTTTTAAGCCATTAAGAGGAACTTTCTCCCTCAATGATTTAGGCAAATATATGGAAGCCAAAGCCCTCCTTAGAGGAATACCACCAAGGAAAATCTGCCAAGACAAATCAGGAAATAAAAAATGGAGTCTTCACCCATCATAATTGCATCCTCTCCTCCTCCCATCTCTTCCAATTCAGAGTTCCCACAGAAGACTGAAGCTGATGACTGCAGCCTCGTTCCATGGACTAACACACACACACACACACACACACACACACACACATATGCACACACACACTTTTCCTTCCAACCTTCCAAAGTTAACCTAAGTCCACATATGTAAAAACAGAGGTGATAAAAAAAAAATTAGGTGATTTGCCCCAATGTTAAGAAATAAAGTATATCATCAGTTTGCCTTCCCCGGTATAGTTCTGAAAGCAGAAATGATGGCAAGAATAAGCAGTAGTATTAGGCACCTGCCTCATAGTTCATTGAGCAATGTTTTCACTAATAGTGAGCCTGGAAAGTGAAGTATTAGCCTTTAAAACTCTGCTAGGGACTCATAGTTAGAAGGATATGCTAGTTTCATTGGTAATAAATAGTATTTTGTATATACTAGAAAGTTTTTGAGAATGAAAATGGGTTTTATTAAAAATTACACTGAGAACACAATCACAAACCTGAACATCCCTGGGAAAAACTGATATGTGGGCAAGATGAACTGTATTCTTTTATTTAATCTTTGCCAAACTTGAAAGGTATGTTGTAGAAGATATTAGGAAATGAGGCTCACGGAAGTTAAAGACTTATCCAGTGGTCATAAAGTAGGGGAGTAACTGAAGAAAAATATGGAATTTGGGCCCGTATTTTTCTTATTATCTATGCTGCTGATCAATGAGCACCTAGTTGGGTGTAGAGTAAGGGAGGTGTGTGTGTGTGTGTGTGTGTGTGATAGTGTATAATGTTTATAGAATGACTTCTTGAACCTAAAACCCATATGGATTTTTTAGCACAGATGACCCATGAACTTTTTAGCACAGATGACACATGACCTTTTAGGTCACAACTTAACTTCAGCATATAAGTAACTTGGTACCAAGAACGTGGCTAGGGTTAATTGTCTGTTTATCCACTGATGCTTATAATGGAGACTCCATATGTAAACAAGGAAGTCAACACCTGCTTCTGGTATACCTAAATAGCTCTTAATGGATGAGGAGTTCCCTGCATATAACATCAAATTAAATTAACAGTCATTTGAAAACCCAGGAAAATGAACACCAGCAGAAAACTTCTGTAGCAGAGTAAGTACTGAGAAAAAGGTAAAAATACTGGATGAAATATCTGTTTTTCATCATCCAGCTGATGCTTTGTAGGGCATCTGAAATGTTGCTAGAAAAAAAATCTACTTATTCCTGTTGTGAAGAATCAGAAACTAAAGGTCAGGAGAAGCACAGCCATTGGAAGGACGGGATGGGGAACTTCTGGAATGGAGTGAGCTAAACTGCACAGATTCTGTACCTGGTCTCTGAGTCGTATACGCAGAGGACAAATTCTAAATAAAAAAATGAAGGACTCAACTGCTTTTTGAACTGCCACCCAAGACTTGGAGTTTACTTTAATTCCAGACAACTCAATTGCCATAATAACCAAATCAGCAGCCAAAACAGCAATAGAAATATAAACTAAGACAGTGTGATTAAAAGGATAAATCCTGCTGGTGGAAATGTAACATCATTCAGCCACTATGAAAATCAAGATGGAAGATTCATCAGAAACCAAAATAGTACAGCCATATTATCTACCTATACAACCCCTGAGTCTATATCCAAAAAAATCAAAGTCATATGTAAGACATATGCCTGTATACCTATGCTTACTGTGATTGTGATACTGATCACAATACCTAAGATATTGAATCAGCTGATGTGACTATTGACCTAAAAATGGATTTCAATTGTACACACACACACACACACACACACACACACACATATATATATATATATATCCAATAAAATATTATTCATCCACGAAGAAGAATGAAATATGCCACAGGAAAATGAGGGTAATTCAATATTGTCATATTAAGTGAAACAAATCAGATTCAGAAATTCAAATGTTGAATGTTTTCATTTGCATCATCAATTAAATTTTAAAAGACTGAAAGTATAAGGGAGACTATCTAGAGGAATAAGAGACCAATAGAAGAGAAGAATTTATGCAAAAAAGAAAAACATGAAGAAAGAATTAGAAGAAGATATGAGAAGATGGAAAGATCTCCCATGCTCATGGCTTGGCAGGATTAACATAGTAAAAATGGCCATCTTACCAAAAGCATTCTACAGATTCAATGCAATTCCCATCAAATTACCAACACAATTCTTTACAGACCTGGAAAGAAAAATTCCATGGTATATACTCACTCATATAAACATATAACATAGAATAAACCCACTAAAATCTGTACATCTAAACAAACTAAGCAAAAGAGAGGACCCTAACTAAAATGCTCAATCCCCATCCTGAAAGGCAAAGAGGATGGACATCAGAAGAAGAAGAAAACAGGAAACAACCTAGGAACCTGCTACAGAGGGCCTCTGAAAGCCAGAAGAAGAAAACAGGAAACAACCTTGGAACCTGCCACAGAGGGCCTCTGAAAGCCTCTGCCCTGCAGACTATCAAAGCAGATGCTGAGCCTGATGGCCAACTGTCAGGCAGAGTGAATGGAATTTTATGTAAGAAGTGGGAAATAGCAAGAGATGGAGAGGACAGGAACTCCACAATGAGAGCAACAGAAAAAGAAAATTTGAACACAGGGAACTTCCCAGAGACTCATACTCCAACCAAGAACTATTCATGGAGATAACCTAGAACCCCTGTATAGATGTAGCCCATGGCAGTTCAGTTTCCAAGTAGGTTACATAGTAATGGGAAGAGGGACTGCCTCTGACATAATCTTATTTGTCTGCTCTTTGATCACCTCCCCCTGAGGGGGGAGCAGCCTTACCAGGCCACAGAAGATGACAATGCAGCCACTTCTGATGAGAACTGATAGTCTAAGATCAGAAAGAAGGAGAGGAAGATCTCCCCTATCAGTGGACTTGGGGAGGGGCATGAATGCAGAAAGGGGAGGAAGGGTGAGATTGGGAGGGGAGGAGGGAGGGGCTTATGGGGGAGTACAAAATGAATAAAGTGTAATTAATAATAATAATAAATATTAAAAAACTAGGACAGATCAGAAGTATATAATATTGTTAAAATGAATTTGTGACCAAAAGCATTCTACATAATCACTAAAATTCTCATCAAAATTAGAATGATATTCATCATGGAAATAGAAATGAAACAGTCCCCAAAATTAACACAAAAACCCTAAACAATGGCCAAAGTAATCTAGAATAGAAAGGATGATGCTGGAGGTCTAACAAAACCTGATGTCAAATTATTCCAAAGAGCCCTACTAATGAAAGCAGCAAGGAACAGGCACAAAACTGGACAGGTAGGCCAGTGAACAGGAAAAAAAAAATCTAGGACTAAACCAACACAGCTGAATGTGGGGCTGCTGAATAAGGTTGAAGTTCGTAGACTCCGGATAGCCATTTATTGGCACTCAGACCGCAGTGATAGACTCCCTTATCTCAGCGGGGTTCAAAAAGTCTCCCCTGATTTGGGTGACCCCAGGTCTTCCAAGGAGCATCACATAGCCCTCAGGACAGATTACAGGCCAGACCCTTCCTGATAAGGAAACTGCTCTAGCAAGCATCTAGGAATTCTAGACATGCCCCACCCTGCTAAGGAGATTACTCTTAAACAGTGACCTTCGACTGTACCTTCCTCTCACAAAAAAAAGAAAAACATGAGAATAAATGTGATCAAAATCCATTGAATGAATATGTCATAATGAAATAAATTGTCTTGTAGTCTAATATTTGCTTATTCAAGATAAAATAAAGAGTAAATATTAATAAAAATGAAAATGAAGTATAATAAATATTTTAAAGTAAAACAAAACATAACAAAAACAATAGAAGAAGAAAAACCAAATGTATAGAAAATAAAATAACGTTAAAGTTTTAAGTTTCAAGTTTAATCATGCCAACAATTATATTAAACATTAAAGGACTGCATACACAATAGGCAGAGATCGCCAGGACTGATACAATGTGCAAAAACAAACTATATGCTATCTACAAGAATTGTTCTTTATATATGAAGAAAATAGTGGTCATACACACATACACACTCACACAAATATTTTCTAAGAAGGCTGCGAGGAAGTTGAGACTGCCAGGTATGATAGTACACATGTATAATGCCAGCCCTCAGGGTGTAAAGGATGTTGCCTTACTAGTTGCAGCCCAGCCTGCAAGGCAGCTCCTGGCTACACAGAGAAACCCTGTCTCAAAGAAACACATCGGAGATAGAGAAGTTTTATAATGATAAATAAGTTATGATTAAGGATGGTGTTAGGACAACCCAAAAATATAAATGAGTATAAAATAAATTTGGTAAAATTTAAAAGAATTAGAGATTTTAATAATCCTTTCAACTAGAAAACAACTAAGAAAAAAGCTAGTAAACATACAGATGCTCCTAATAGTATCAACCACTTTGATCTTATTAATATATATGATACACTATACCTAAGAACTATAAAAAGTACACTGTTTTTCATGGACACATAATCTGTACCCAATTACTCACGGTTCCAATACATTTAAATAGGTTAAAGTCATTCCAGGTTAAATCAGCTATGGAAACCTGTGGCTATCAGCTGAGCACTTAGGGGGTAGATACAGAAAGATCAGAAGTTCAGTTACTTTTCAAATTGAGATGGAAGCATTATTGGGCTACATAAAATCCTATCTCATAAACACGGAACTAAATGAAACCATACCAAGTGTATTCTGTGGCCAAAATGAAACAAATAATAAATAATAATGCCTTTGATATCTCCAAATATTTGGTATTTAAACATACATCTAAGTATTTGAGGCACTAAAGAAGGTGAAAAATACTTGCAACTGAAATAATAAAAATACATGTTCAAGATTTGAGTGAGAGATCCTGTCTCAAAAAAATAAGGTGGAGAGTGATGAAGGAAGATTCCCAATGTTGATCTGTGACTCCCACTCATATATGCATAAGGCAATGGCACCTACAAACAAAAATAGACACACATTAAGTGGGAACAGAAGGTATGAGGTGGGGGAAAGATGGAAGAAGAGAGTACTGGGAGAGACAACTGGATTATGGGAACATTTCTCAGACAAGCTAATACCCTAGGACAATGGATTCTATGAGGGGAAACCCTAGTTAAGACTCCTTAGCAATGGAGGATATGGTGCCTGAAACGGCCATCTCCTGTAACCAGAAAATACTTCCAGTCAAGGACACCAACATAGCCATAAAACCCCAGACCCACAATTGGTCCTGCCTACAAGATGTTCATGGGTAAAAGATGGAGCAGAATTTGAGGAATACTGTGGAAGAAGGGGAGGAAGGATAGAAGGAGCCAGAAGGGTCAAGGACACCACAAGAAAACCTACAGAGTCAACTAACCTGGGCCCACAGGGGCTTACAGAGAATTAACCTCCAAACAGAGAGCATGTATGGGATCCATCTAGGCCCTCTGTACATATGTAACAGCTGTATAGCTTGGTCTTCATGTGGTACTCCTAATAGCAGGAACAGGGGCTCTGTCTGACTCTGTTGCCTGCCTTTGTATCCCTCTCCTCTAGCTGGGCTGCCTACTCTGTGTTCAAAAGAAGATACACATAGTCTTACTGCAACTTGATATGCCAGGACTGGTTGATATCCATGGTAGGCCTCCTCTTTTCTGAAGAGAAGAGGAGAAGGGGTGAATTAGGGGAGAGATTGAGATGGAAGGACTGAGAGGAGAGGAGTGATGGAAAGCTGCAATCAAGATTTAAAGTAAATAAATAATAATAATAACGTTAGAAGAAAAATTAAAGGCTAAGAAAAGGAATAAAGACGGTGGTAGTGAGATGGGAAAGGAGGTAGGAGTGCTTGTAGCAAAAGCATGACAATAGGGCAAAAGGCCAAACATACTTGTACACACCTGTAGCCATAGCACTAACAGGAGGGTAGAGGGGATTGCTGCAGCCACCATCTTAGGTTCAGCGTCAGCGAAAGATCCTGTCTCAAGGTAGCAGGGTAGAAAGTGGTATATCAGAGTACCCAATTTTCTCATCCTGTTTCTGTTCATGCACAAGCACACACACACACACACACATGTACGCATACCACACACACTCCTATACAAAAAGAGAAATAAAAATCACTAAGGAAGATTCACAACCCTTTTGCCAGCTATCCTAAAAATCACTCAACCTAGTAAGTGAATTTAGCAATTGTTCATAATACACAAATGATGTACATAGGTTGAATATCATTTACCAAAATCCTTAGACAAGAAGTGTCTCATATTTTGCAGGTTTGGGATTATGAATTATTTGCATAGACTACTTATGTAATTCCTAATCCAAAATTCTGAAATTGAACATGCTCCAAAATCTAAAGCTATAAAAACATTTTTCTTCTTGGAATTCAGGAATAGGCCTGGTCAGTCAACCCACATTATACACTTTATATTTAATCAATTGCATTTTATATTTGCATAAAATCATTGAAATTTTAAAAATATTCCATTTGCAACAACATCAGAGAAATAAGATACTTAGGAATAAATTCATCAAAACACAGCCAGGTGTAGTGGTACAAACCAATTAAATACCAGCAACTTGGAGTCAGAGACAAGAAGACTGTGAGTTTGAAGTCTATCTGGGACATTATAAATTCAATGTCAGGTGAGATATATAGCAAGATTCTATTTCAGAAACTGAAGTCTGACCCATCAGTGGACTTGGGGAGGGGCATGCATGGAGAAGCGGGAGGGAAGATGGGACTGGGAGGGGAAGAGGGAGGGGTTTACAGGGGATACAAAGTGAATAATGTATAATTAATAAAAATTAAAATAAAAAATTAAAAAAAATAAAATGACATGCCAGAGTGATAGTAAACCCTGTAAACACACACACACACACACACACACACACACACACACACACACACACACACACACACACA